GTCAGTCTGTGAAGGATTATGGAGGCGATGGAGATCAGACTGATTTCGCTATGGTTGCCGTATTCCGAACGCGAGCCTCCTTTGAAGATGGGAACAATAACGGAGCGGCCCCAGTCGGTTGGGACAGTCTCTTGCTCTCACAGTTTCACTAGTAATTCATGTAAAGCATCAACGAGAGTAGAGTCTCCGAATTTGAAGAGGGCTGGAGGAAGATCATCTGGTCCCGCGGCTTTGTTCAACTTCGACAGTCCTATCTCACGTTCGACATTTGAGCGAGGGTGAATCCAAAGGGACAGCCCACGGAGCAGGGCGATAACTGGCCGGCGAAGAATCGAACAATTCTAGCTGATTAAATTGTTTTCAAAATGCTCAGCCCAACGACCCAAATGTTTTGACAAATTGTGGATAGGCTGTCCACTCTAGTCAAATGGAATGGTATCAGCGACAATAAACTCGTGGTGGAACTTCTCATTAGCAATGTGTATCTGAGCCGTGATAGATTCCTGAACAGACAGGGGTTCCCCATTAGCAGCGGTCATACGACAGCGGCATGGCATCTACACACAATCTGTCAGCAACTTGGTTATATTGGCTCGGACTAAGCTCCTGCATGCCCCTGTGTCAATTAGACCTACCAGTGGCACTCCTGCTATGATTAGCTCTACCGTTAATAAGAATGCGGTCGTTGTGCATGTGACATCCTGAATGAAAACTGACTTCACACAGTCGCACTCACCTTGAAGATTTCGGCTGCCACTGCTTGGTGGGTAATTTCATCTTCTTGGTAGAGGAGGGCGGGGCCTTCGGAACTTCGATTGTACCGGCGGTCGCGAGTAAACCCCTCGATAGAAAACACGATCCTAATTCCTTCGTTCTGGTGACTTGAAGTTAGCGTGACTGCACCCCTTCAGTGCACAACATTGTTCCATAGGGCCCATTGACGCATCCATTTGCTCCAATTGGTCCGACACTTCTAGGGCTGCCTGGAGACAAGTAGGGCGGCGTAAACGAAACTCACTTTTTACCGAGGAAGTTTGGATGCCTTTGAGCAACTGCCCCAAATTGAGTTTGTCCTGTTGTTCGTGCGTTTCATCTGCATAGGCAGTTACTGCCATCCTCCGCAGTTCGCGACCATGTTTCTACGGTTTCCCCCCGGTCTTTGATACCGGGCATGAAAAGCTCTGCACACTTCGTCGGGCAGGCCGGGCCGATCTAAGAGACCGCGAAGGGCGGCGAACGTTTCCATGGTGATCTCTCCATTCAACACCTTACTATCCACAACTTTACTAAATGCCTCGCCTGCCAGTAGGCCCATAATAACAGTATCGCGTCGTGGAGCCGGGAAGTGCTTGATGTACATTTGCACTTGTTTTTCCTATCGGAGATATGGCGTGCCCGGTAAAAAATTTTCCCGAATTGGGAACGGGGGTGTGTAAGGGGCTGATGTCAGGTTCATTGTCACCTGCATGGCGTCCGACAAAGATTCCAAAGCAAAAGCAATCCTTACACCCGGATCGGAGATCAGTGATCGAATTTCTCCGTTGGATGGGTTAGTGGTCTTCGCCATTATTCCTTGATCCTGGCATGGTCGCCAGTTCAAACATTCAGACAAGGGAGAACTCCAAGGGTTGAGACGGAACGCCTATTACGCAACACGTAGGCTAGTTAACGGTTCTCCTCAGGTTCTTGTTCTGCAGTAATTGCGCAGGAATGACGTTCTGAAAGGCAGAGGGAAAAGGTGCCGTCAAACCAACGATTCAAATTCGACCACGCGCCAAACTAGTTTCGCTCGTTCGTTACAGCTGTGCCCGTAACCCACTTTTCCTCATGAGTGAAATATAGGGAGTAGAAACCTCCGAAAGGTATGCCTGAAATTTATCCCAGGCTGACTGGACAGAGTCGGCCATCAAGATCTAACAGTTCCGAACTGAAGCCTTTGCTCGCATTGCACTAAAGTCCGCCCGCCAAATATTCGGAAGTAATTCAACGGCGATCAGTTGGTGCTTTGAAAGAGCACAGTGAGGGATATGCATGCGTGATCGTTGGACCCTAGAGGTGCACCGTACGAAACGTCAGTCACGAAGTCCAGGGACAACGAAAAGCAGATCTAGTTGGTATTTGGTTGTCTATATACCTAGTGGGGAACTCCACGAACTGGTGCAAAGGCACCTGGAGTCAGCTCAAGAAAGTCTACACCGAATGTTCCTGACGCCGAATTGCAAGAAAGGTCGGCCCAACAGATTTCCGGAAGGTTGAAATTCCCTAGAATTAAACAGTTATTCGCGGACTGAGTGCATTTCGTGTTCCTATCTCCACTTTTTTTCTTCTGCCATGGTTCTGACGGCAAAATATCTGTTAACAGACTGTGAATAAATAAATAATCTGGGACCTTCTTCACAGTGATCTCTCACCTGACTCCTTTGAAGTTGATATCCTGGATACCGTTCACGAGTGCAACCTGACACAGCATGTCTTGACACCAACGCGGATAGTCCCTGGTCAGACACCAAACATTCTCGACCTGGTTCTCACTTCGGCACCATCCGATGTTTCAGATCTAACGATTCTTCAACCTCTTGGGAAGAGTGATCACTGTACAGTCTCCTTTTCGTGGACACGACGCCTCACAATCCACGAGCAGCGGACACTGCGCCGAAATTGCTAGCGCACCGACTAGCCCAGATTAAGAACTACTGCAAGTAACATGGACTGGAGTATTCCACAATCCTTGGAACTTGATGACGCATGGGAACGCCTGCAATCTATGATGATGCGGCTCAGTGAACAGTTTGTTCCAAACTGCAAGAGCAGGTCACCATCCAAAGGACCCCCATGGATTGATAAAAAAGTAAGATCCCTAATGAAAAAGCGACGAAAACTATGGGATCATTTCAAGAGCACAGGACTGACATCAAGCTACTTAGAGTACAAAACTGTCAGAAACCTATGCACGCTGAGAAAACGAGACGAAAGACTACAATATGAACATGGACTGGCCATGGAATCCCAAAACTGTCCCAAGAAACTTTTTGCCTACTTGAAGCGAAATGCCAAAACTGGTAGTGGAATCCCTGCTCTATCCTCTTCTAAGGAAGGTACCGTTCTCTACGGCGATGATGAAAAAGCAAACCTATTGGCTGCGCAATATTCTTCGGCCTACTCAGTGGAGTCACTACTGCTCAACAACTGTTTGCCTGCACACTACTTCCCCATGGATCAAGTTGAAATTAACCCCGAAGTAGTCACTAAGCTACTCCTCGAACTGGACCCGAACTCCTCCCCAGGCCCGGACGGATTGCATCCCAGCTTCCTCAGAACGATAGCTGAGTACGTCGCCGCCCCTCTCTGCCAAGTGTTTCGGCAATCACTCGAAGTCCGCTGCCTACCCACAGGCTGGAAAGCAGGTACCGTAGTGCCCAAATACAAGGGGGGAAACCAACAAGACCCAGCCAACTACCGGTCAATATGTCTGACCTCAGTCGTGTGCAAAACCATGGAACGAATAGTCAAGTGCGCCCTCCAGCTACACTGTGTGAATCTTAACCTCATCTCACCTGCTCAACATGGCTTCCGGAGAGCACGCTCATGCATCTCTAACTTACACATCGCCAGGGAAACATGGGCAGAAGCCAAAGATGCCCGAAAACAGGTTGACGTAATATTCATTGACTTCAGCAAAGCCTTTGATAAGGTTCCACACGTACGCCTGCTATATAAAGTCCAGGGAATTGGCATTTCAGGTAATCTTCTCCCCTGGATTGACGATTTCTTAAGAGGTAGGACAATGCGCGTACAAGTGAACCAAACCCTCTCTGCTCCAGTGCCTATAACTAGTGGCATTCCCCAAGGATCAGTGCTTGGACCGGAGCTCTTCAAACTGTACATTAACGATCTGCCGACTGCACTTCAAACCGACTGCTTGATCTAAGCCGATGACCTCAAGCTATGGTCAACAGTATCCAGCATTGAGGATGCGGATAGATTACAAGGGGCTCTAGACCAGCTACATGAATGGTTTATCAAGTGGGAACTGCCAGTAAACCGAAATAAATACGCTGTTCTCCCAATGGGTAGCACTGAACCGTACGATGCATATCACATTGGTGGGTTTCTCCTCAGAACTACCACCCACGAGAGAGATCTCGGGGTTATCGAGGCTCCTGACCTTAGAACGACGCAGAAAATGTTGAAGGTGGCCACTGGAAGGAGATTGGTAGGTACCTTAAGAAGATCATTCGCTCAAATGACTCCTGAGATTTTTCGACCATTGTTTACTTCGTTCGTCCGTCGTCTTAGAATATGGCCTTCCAGCTAGCCATCCGCTTCCGAAGTTTGAATGTGCTCTGCTGGAAAAGGTTCAGAGACGTGCATCGAAAGCTGTTCTGGGGCTTCGTGATCTCCCGTACCCCATTCGACGCCAACAACTAGATCTGTTCACCCTCGAGCTCTGCCGTCGCCGGGGTGATCTCATCTACACTAGGCGCATCCTCCGAGGGGAACTTGGGAGTGAGTTGCAGCAATTCTTCCGGCCCAACACTGACTGTTCCACACGAGGTCACACATGGAAACTGTTTAAGCAAAGAAGACAGAATTCGCATGGACGTCACCCTATCCACTAGAGTGGTGAATGATTGGAATAGCCTACCGGAAGAAATTGCAGACGCTCCATCCGAGGAAATTTTCAAGCGGCTGCTAGACCAACATTCGCTGAGAATGCTGGAATCTTGCGGCTGTCACTGTAACTGCGAAGAACCCTCGAGGAACGTCGCAATGCAACGACAGGCATCAAACCCAGCATGATACGGAATCGATGGGGCTGACAAGGGATTTCCCTCCTGCTCTCTACAACTCAACAAACTCATACATTTGGAAGAACTTCCAGTATATCATTACAACTGCAAACTGGGTAGAGGGAGTGCAAACAGCCGATTGGGATTCAACAATCAGATCTGACGACTGGAATGTACAGGTCCTCAACGGATAGATTACAACTAACATACAGCACAACACCGCCTTGACGACCAACATGGAAGCTCTTTAAGCAAAGAAGACACAAAATTCGCAAGGACGTCACCCTATCCACTAGAGTGGTGAATGACTGGAACAGCTTACCGGAAGCAATTGCAGACGCTCCATCCGAGGAAAGTTTCAAGCGGCTGCTAGACAAACATTCGCTGAAAATGCTGGAATCTTGCGGCTGTCACTGCAATTACGACGAACCCTCGAGGAACGTCGTAACGCAACGACACGCATCAAACCCAGTATGATACGGAATCGATGGGGCTGACAAGGGATTTCCCTCCTGCTCTCTACAACTCAATGAACTCAATGAACAATGAGCCATCAGCTCTCAGATCACTTCTAGAAAGGACGACGCTATTCGCAGCTGGTGCAGGTCAGGTCAGGTCAAAATCCGTGGACGATACAGGCTTCCGCCTAACGAGCGTCCAGCTTCTTGTACCGGTAAGCGAACCAGAGCCCCCGACACTTCGACTTTTGATCGCCTCTCCTTGCCTCTGCAAAAAGAAATGAAGCAAAAGCGAGAGCAATCTTTGCTTTTACAAGATCAACATCGGATAACAATGCGAATAAAATGGATAGGATTATATTAATTCCGGAAAAATACGCGGCCAGCACCTGTCTAGGCCTGCTTTGAAGGCAACCACAGTCTCACAATCCATTAGTTCCGAAGGCAACTTATTCCAGTTGCGCACTACACGATTTGAGAAGAACTTAGCCCTGACGTTCAGTCTAGCTCACTGTTGTTTGAGCTTCAAGCGATGTCCACGCAAGCGTTCAGAATCAGCCAGCTCAAATAAATCAGAGGGCACGATGGCACTGAAGCCCTTCATGATCTTAAATGTTTCTATCAGATCGCCTCTCAGTCTACGCCGTTCAAGGGAAAACAACCCCAGGCTCTTTAGGCGATCTTCATACGGCTTCCCCCGTTGATCTTCAACCATCCTGGTTGCTAGCCTTTGTATCTTTTCCAGGCAAAGAACATCATCACGGAGATAGGGCGACCAAGCTTGAACACAATACTCTAAGTGTGGCCTAACCACTGCTTTGTATAGTGGCAGGAACACTTCTGGCTTGGTTTTACACAGAGCCCTCCTGAGGCGAAACAATTCTCGTCGCGCTTTGTCGGCGGCGTATCGACATTGCATCGAAGGCTTGAAGCTGCTCGTCATGATGACTCCTAAATCGCGTGCCTGGGTAGTGCATTGTAAGGGGAAGGGTCCAAAGGAAGTCTGAACTGCAAGTACGTCTCTACTAGTGGTCAGAATTTGGCACTTGCTTGCATTCAAGGGCAAGTCCCATTGCTTCGACCAGTTTACCACACTGATGATATCCTTGGCCAGTGTTGCACGGTTGCCCCTGCTGACTAGCTTCAAGTCATCCGCAAAGATATAACAGGGGTCTTCAATAAGAGGAGCCAAGTCGTTTATAAACATAAGAAACAAAAGTGGACCTAGCACCGATCCTTGGGGTACTCCACTGTAGGCCACGCCCACACTAGAACTCACATAACCGATTCTAACTCGAAACGTTCTCCCACATAAGAATTCTGACACCCAAGACAGAAGTCTAGGATGTACTCCGAACCATGCTAATTTTTCAAGTAGGAAACGGTGATTTACTGAGTCGAAAGCCTTGCTAAAGTCAAGATAGCAGACCTCTATCGGAATCCCGTCGTCAAGACATCGAGTAATCTCATCGAGGAAGCACAGTAGATTAGTGAGGCACGACTTCTTTTTAATGAAACCATGCTGCTCTGCTCTAAGTAGACAGTGTTCCACCAAATGCTCACAAATCCGGTTTCTTATAAGCTTCTCTAAACACTTGAGCAGAACACAGGTTAGACTGATGGGTCTGTAGTTAAGGGGCTCCGATTTGGAGCCACCCTTGTGAATTGCAACTATGGCTGCTTCCTTCCAGTCTCGTGGCAACTTGCATTCCTGGAGCGACAAGTTGAACAGCTCCAGAACAGGATGTTGAAGGATGTCAGCTAGTGGCTTGACTATTGCCGGATGTACATCGTCAGGACCGGCTGATTTGAAGGGATTAAAGTTAGTCATCACGGTAAAGACTCGTGCAAGTTCAAATTCAGTTTGGACGGGAACGGTAGGAAAATTCCCATATGTGTTCTTTCTTCAATGCGTCCTTGAACCAGGATGGAGTTTGCGAGAGCGATTTGAAACCGCGAAGAGGCAAATCAATACACGCGAATCACATAACTGTCAATCAACCAATGCCCACGCGGAATGCACTGGTTGTCCCCGCTGCACCGGCCACGTGAATAGAATAAAGGCTAAAAGAGGAGGCTCTACAAAAACAAAATAATGATGATTGTAGTACAGGAGAGAATGTGTGGATAAGATAAGTATAGTAACAGCTGTGAGAAGCCAAGTAAACGGGTGTAGAAGTTTTGGACCAAACGGAAAGGTTTGAAACTGCAACCCAAGTGCGTCGAGTCGATGTTCAAACTCATTAACCGTTGGTGCTAACACTACTTCGCTGGGTAGTGCGTTCCAGGAGTCGATGACCTTGCGTGATAGACGAAAGTCAGCTCTAACGTGATCAGATCTGGGCTTATGCTGCTTCAGAAGGGGACCACGAAGAGGTGGTATCTGAGCCGGATGGAACAGTCTAGTTAGATCAGGCCCAACCTTGCTGGTCAATATACGGTACGCAAAAATCAGGTCTCCCCGAAGGCGCCTATAGTACAGCGAAAACCTCTGCAACCTGCGCGGCCTAGCTGGATACGAGACGCCTCCATCCTTGTACCATTTTGGTACCAACCCTTAGCACTCCTTCAAGTGTCATCTTGTCGCGTACCAAGCATGGAGGACAGGCCTGCACGCAGAACTCCAAGTATGACCTGACAAAGACTGAGAACAAGGTAACAAAAATTTTATTTGTTATAATGTCAAACGATCTGAGGATTATCCGCAGCATTCGGAAACCCTTGCGGGTAGCATTTGTCCAGTTCTCGCTGGATTTGAAGTCAGAGGATAGCGAAATACCCAAGTCGGTTTGTTCAATCACTTACGCACTACATTTCCGCCAAGTACGTAAGGAGTTGTGAAACTGCTTGATTTTATGCGCAAGACCGAACACTGCAATCTTAACTGGCAGCTGCCACAATTGTGACCACTCCCAAATCTTGTCGAGAGCTGTCTGCAAAGCCTTGGGCCTAACAGAATCGCTCACTGTATTCCAAACTTGTAAGTCATCTGCAAACATAAGCGATGGTACCTTAAGCTTCTCGGGATGGTCAGCGACAAACAATGCAAACAGTAGAGATCCGAGAACCGACCCCTGAGGAACACCACTCAGGACGGCTTGTCTGAAAGACAGCCCGGAACCAACTGGAAAGCTCATCTGCCTTCTTTCTAGGAAAGCCGAAATCTACTTTAATACGGCCTGAGACGCCGTAGGATACTAGTTTAAACAAAAGACGGCAATGCGGTACGGTGTCAAAGGTTTTAGAAAAGTCGATGAACAAACCTCCACCGCCTGTCCTTGATCCACAGACTCAACCCAGCACTCTCGGGCTACCAACCTGTTAGTCAAATAGAAGTGGCCTCTGCGGAACCCAGGTTGAGACGAGTTGAACTTAGCTACGCGCTTCTCCAGAGCATCTTTTACCAGTTGCTCTAATACTTCCACTAGTACACCTATTAGGCTAACCGCTCTATAATGTTAAGTGCTTATCACCCTTTTTGAAAATAGGGCACACACTAGCATCACTCCAGTCAGCAGGTAGGGAGCAGCTACGAAGAGACTTCTCAAAAATACAGTTAATCGGTTTACACATCAACGCAGCCTGCTTGTACAAAAGCTTGGGACGGAAGGCAACTATCCCGGCAGCTTTAGTGGGATTCTGGTCACGCAGGAGCTTGAGTACCTGTGCTTCCGAGATGGAAATGTCCATCAGAAAGGAAGCTACTGGAATCTTTGCCTGTAATTCGTTATTAGGTAACGGAGATTCATGAACAAATGACCTAACATACTATTCCGCAAGTAAACATGCCTTGGCCTGATCGGTTGATATTTCAGTGTCGTCAGGTCCAAACAGCACAGGGATAGGCGAATTTGTATTGCATCTCCGCTTGACATAGCCAAAGAACCGTTTCGGGTTTGTTGATGCGAATCTAGCCAGCGCAAGTTCATGGCTCAAGCGTGCGGCTCGCAGATGCGGTTTACATGCATGTCGCACGCCTCGGTAGCGATGATAGGCACTTTTTGAGGAAGCCGATACGTAAGCCCTTCAACACCTGGATGGCCTAATGAGCGTCCCGCGCGCCTCAGAGTCAAACCAAGGTGTATTGCCCCCACTTTATTCATCGCTGAGATTGAAATGTGGGGAGGGAAATCTTGCAAAGAAAGGATTTAAGGTTGTCCCAGGCAACCTGGACGATATTATCCTCTGAAACGATACAGGGTTGATTTGCAGCCTTGTCCCTGATGGCTCGAAACTCAGCCCCCACATATTTGGCATCCTGACAATACACTCTTCATGTCCCCGACTTAAAGAGCATTTGAATAATAGGCAGATGTGATCCCTAGAGCCCAAGGGGAATCATTCACTACATCTCGTAAAATATTTATCGATTTCGCAAAGATGAGGACTAAAATGGAAGGGTTTTGGCCCTCCATGAACTTAGTTTGCCTTGGTACAACCTGATGAAAAGATGCCTGTAAGGATAGGGCAAGGCGATCGTTAGAAAAACGTCCAGACGCCGCTGTGCAGCAATTGCGCCAACTAACCTCGGAAACATTAAAATCACCCATAACCAGACATGCCCAGACGTCTATTTGTCGCATGAGTACGAATGAAATCGATGCGCTTGCTTGACGCACTTTCGGGGCTTCTGTATACTAACACAATTTTGAATTGCGCGAAAGAAGCGCAAACCTCCACGGCAAGAGCCTCCGCAGTTACATCAGGGGAACTGGAGGAATATGTGCGTGAAATAGTCAACGTGGACCTGACGTACAAAGCAACTCCACCTCCGCGAC